CGGCAGGGAGGTGTATGGCACCGACAAGGGCTGGATGGTGGAATGAGGGATGACCAATTTCATTGGGTTAGTAGGCAAGTGGTGAAATGAGACCTGTAGAATTGACCGTGTCCTGAATACCACATCACATGATCTTGCTCTCATACACAGCCTACACAAGTATCTCAAGGCTCCTTGCATCAACCGCCATCACAGGAATATATCGCAACAGGGCGTGATGAATCACGCAGCGAATTTCGTGACTTCACGGCATCTGATTGGACAAAACTGGACAATTTTGAATTCCTGCCTTGCGAATTCCAAAAACAGACAGACACATGAAAAATAAGAATAAACAATACAAACTTGAAGATATATTTAATTGAAACTATACAATTTCAGAATTACGTATGGAATTTGCATGGTGGTCCACCTTGCGCTTCATACAAAATTGCTGCTTATTTCACCTTGCTTTTTCTGGTTAATGCCAAATAATTCTGAGCAATAGTAATCACATGTGATGATGAAGTCACCAAAACACCTTGGCTGTTGTTCCATCGCGTAGTACATGCTACCTGCATGTACTACGTACGATGGAACAAGAAGGTGGCGTGGTTTTCTACGATGTGGCACCATACGTACAGTACATTGCTGTTCGGTAGAAGTCTGGCGCATGTCCTCGCTGTGGGTCATTTGTAATATCAAAAGTTGTTCATGATGACCAGTGAATTGTGCAATTTGGTCCAGAGAATACTTGAAGTAGCAGATATTAATATAACTTCGATTTGCACTTTTCACACTTAGCACTTTTCACAGTCAAATGTGCAAAAGCGAGGGAGTTGCATAAATGACCAGATACTAAATCACGGTACGGAAAACATTGGGGTCGATGTAACAAACACCCAGGTTTATGGTGCGAATAGCCAAAACGAGTGAAGAGCACAATAATACGACAGTAGTAATTACTACGTACTACCTTTGTACTGTAATATATTTATTGATTTATACAAGTACTCGGAGTACTGGAGTAAAGTATTAATAGTAGTAGTATACCACACTACCGGTAGTATTCCTTTGAGCGTACATACATAGATCAAGTCAAAACCTAATGTGACTACTACATGTACTAGTAGTACCTTTCTGGATCAGAGTACGGTACAGTACTCTAGCCATCCATATTCTTGAAGGGCGACCACTCGACTTCAACTTTGTTGAAGTGACATGTAGAATTCCCCGATTAACTGTAAAACAGTTCCACTGTTGTTTTGACCCAAAATACTGTTTCAATGAGGGAATTATCACATCCGGATACTCCTTTTCGCCAGTAGCCCTGTAACCTGGGACTACATACTGTACGATGCTCAATCTCCGGGGTTAACTGTATCGTGAGTGGTTAGCGATAGCTAACCACTCGCACTTAACCCCTAGTAAGAGGGAGATGGTCATAGAATACAAAGTTCCATATAAACACACAAATTGCAGTGCTCTCTGAGAAAAGAAACAGTGGAACTGTTTTCATCGGGGAATTGCACAGTGACTACATACACATTGTATCCCCACACAGTGGTAGGTCAGCTGATAGTATGGCAAGTTATGCAAACTCAGGGTACATATATTGACGCCACTCAAATTCGCAGATGTCCCTGCCTAAATCAAGGAGCTTGGTTGGCTTAGAATTTAGTGTGACAGTCACACTGATCCGACGGCGGCGGCCCAATATCGCGTTAACCTTTCTACCTATATGTATGTATGGTGCAGGCTTCCAAGTCATCCGACGGCGGCAGACGTCCTTCGTCCTCCTCTTCGTCTCATTTTGCAACAGTCGTTCTAGCACCACAAACAACATGCCTCGCCTGTCGACTCTATTGCTCGCGTCTGCCATCATGGCCGCTGCTGTCTCGGCGCACGGTGACCACGACCACGACCACGACCATGACCTCAGCGAGTGTGGCATCATCGAAGACAAGGACGACTACGACCAAGGAATCCACGTCGCGGCGATCTTTATCGTATTTGGTGTGTCCATTCTCGGCAGTCTGCTCCCCGTCGTCAGTTCGTACGTGTCGTGCCTTCGCAACAGCCAAAAGTTGTTGTCCCTGCTCAACTCGTTTGGGTTTGGGGTGGTGATTTCGACTGCGTTCATCCACATGATCCCGTCGGCCACGTATATGTTGGGCAACCCGTGCTTGGAACTGACCTACAACGGCATCGCCATGGTCATCGTCGTCGCCACAGCCCTTGCTATGCAATTGCTCGAAACGGAACTCGTGCTGCTGTTGACCAAGAACCAGCAAGATAACAACTCGGCCGATTTGGCCAAACTCACCACTGACATTGAGACGAGCGTTGCGCCAATCGTGCCGGCGACGGATGGACACTATCACTCCCACCACGGCCACTCCCACGGAGACCTTGCCAAGAACAACACCCACAAGAAGATCAACGTGCTGATCTTTGAAATCGGCGTTGCCATTCACTCGGTGATCATCGGGTTGGACTTGGGCGTGTCCACGGGCGATGGATTTATCACACTGCTCGTGGCCATTTGCTTCCACCAGTTCTTTGAGGGGGTCGCGGTCGGTTCGTCCGCCGTCACGGCCTTCTCGAACATCCGCTCGTCCGTCTTCACAGCCGTCGCGTACTCGCTCACGACGCCCCTGGGTATTGCCATTGGGATTGCAGTCAACAGCTCGTACAGCAACACGTCGGTGACGTCGTTGTGGGTGCGCGGCGTCTTGGACTCGGTGGCGGGCGGCATCTTGGTGTACACTGGGATTGTGGAATTGCTCACGTATCAGTACACGATCAACCAAGAGTTCCACGCTAAGTCGGGGGGCATCCGATCTCTCAACTACCTTTTCTTGTGGCTCGGCGCCGCTTCCATGGCCATCATCGGCAAGTGGGCGTAAT